TCGACGTCATTCAGGAAAGCGGAAAGAGGCGAAAACAATGACGGAAGATCTTCTAGGTCCATTGAATTGAGTTCCGTTGCCGGTCCGGATCCGGTAGTTCCAGGCATGTTTTGGGGCTGTTGCTGCTGCGAGTGCTGTTGAAATTTTGTGCCTATATGGGATCCCGATGCCGGGCTGTGGTTATAAAAACTATTATTTTGCCCCGTCAACGGTTGAAAATAAGTAGCAGAGTCCGAGGCACAGTGAGGGTTACATTTGTCCGGAAAGTATTCTTCGTGCGCGACGCTTGAAGATCCATCGGTGCTGCTGCAACGGGATTCGTGATCCATAGCCGGGCTCAGTTTGGGATACGAATGTTCCATAGCCGCCGACATGATTAAAGCTCTCTCGCTGGGGCTAAAAATTCTTAAAGTTAGCCAAATTTCGTTCAAATTTTCCAACTTGTTCCAAACATTCGCTTTTGTATGCAAAATTTTTACACTTATTTTACATTCCTAGATTTGTTATTTATTTGGACTTACACTCGATATCTCACACAATCACTATTTTTTTTCATAATATTATTATTACCATTATGGTTGTTATCAATAATATTACTGAAATTATTATTACTAATACTGTTGCTGCTGCTATTACTGTAATTATTATTACTATGACTGTTGTCATTGTGATTGTTAATACTACCATTATCTTAATATTGTTATCACTATTATTACTGTTATTATTATCATTATTATTATCATCATCATTATCGTTCTTAAGCGCAATGTATGTGCATGCTCTATTTGCATCGTACATATACTTGCTTGATCCCCACTTTGTCAATTATTCTTGCTTGATTCTCGTTTTCATGCTTCCCTTTGAATCTATCATTTTTCCTTTATTTCCTGCATAATCAAAAAACTGCCTGGACTATCTCTCGTGCCAATCGCAGATATGCTAGATTTTCGTAAAATCCAACGTGTGTTGCCCTGGTAAGGCCTGAAATCACGCCCAAAAAGGCCCGAAATCTATTATGGTATGGCCTGAAATCTATTATGATAAAGCCTGAAATACATCAAAATCGTTTTTTCTAATTTGAGAAAAATCATTTACATACTTTGGCTGCTGATGTTGATCTGGCACCTTTGTCGTGACGTTGTGCGTGGATATATCGAGAAGCTGATAATCGGCAGCTTCGGCCCGGCCATCTATCGAAGCGTAGTCGACCGGCAATTGTTGAATGGGAGCATTGTTGCTGCTCCAGTAA